ACAGGACAAGCCCAATTACGGAGAACACAAAGTGACATACTCAAACTTAAACTTACTAATATCGTTATACCTACATCAACTAAATTAACTTAATCTTAAAAAAAAGAAATAATAAAAAATAAATCGATCGTGATCTATGCAACGAAATATCGTGGAACTTTCGGTTTTCGGTATTATAGTCGTACTATCGTGTTATTCCTGCATCGCTAACCCATTCCTGAAGTTGTGTTAAGATAAGGAAATAGAATGTGTGTATGAATGTCAGATTTTTCGGTTAATTTAATAAAATAGTTGTACGATCTTATCTAATTGACGAGTACGAAATCATTTACTTTGCTCACAGGCTAAGATTAAGTAAATTGAATTCTCTGAATAGACATTGTTATGTAAGTTTTACATAATTCGTTGTTGAATCTCAAAATGTCATCGCTGTAAAATCGAATTGATAAATTGAAGGGTCTACCTAAACCGGGTTGTGATTTTGCAATTTCTTGCTTCTCAAATCATCATTTATACATAGAATGTGGTTCGTTTTGAAATAAAATCTCTGCACTCGATAGAAACATTGTGGTAGCCAGATTTATTCGAGTGTAGCGCTTCTGTAGCGATTATTGTAGAAATCTATTATCCATGGACATCAGGTTGCTACCAGGCGCCATCAAGTCTATCAAGATGAGTGACTGGCGATAAGGATGTGGCGTGTTCTGTCCCGTAAATGTGATGCGTGTTCGGGAATTATCGAGAATGATCCGTGATTTTCGGAAAGCTTTTTGTTTGATATATAATCCAATTGAATTGCAGAAATTCCAACATCAACACTGAATTGATGGGTAGTGATTTCGTGCTCGTTTTTGTTGTAAAATCTACATGTTATAGTACAATTGAGTGTTAAGTAATAATGTTATGAATCAAGTTATTTAAGGACTCTGTTATAATTCATTATTATCGATTGTAAATAAATAAATCACGTTACAATTTTATGTACAAATAATGCAATTTTTGTGAGGAAAAGAGATACATAGTTATTCGGCCAGTTCCATTTAGACGTACTCTTACCGCTGGTAACTGTTCAGAGTTTCGGAAACTACCAGATGCAGAGAGACGATTAAATGGTGAAATAATCGTTTTTGTGAGATATTAAAAAAGAAAAATTATTTTTTATTTTTACTTTTCGACAAGTTAGTTGCGGAAAAGTATTGATTTATGCCAAAAAATGTCTATAAAAAATTCTCCCATTTTAGAAAGACAGGTGCGAAGTTGCCAAGTTGGTCTAAAAGGCTGCGCTATATCGTGGACTGACGTACGGACAAGAAGCGCATAAGCGTTACCGATTCGTAAGCTGCGCTAAAAATGCAAAAAAATGAAACAGAAAATTGATTTCATAATTTATTTAATATAATCCTGGATGTGCGAAATGTCGCAAGAACATTAATTATTATTTAACACAAGCATTGACTATCTTCATTCCTAAGTGCTAATAAATAATCTTCTCTTCGACCTATCCAATTTACTGTTAATAATATTTACTGTAATAAATTTTACCTATATTTGCTTATTTTCAATAAAACTCATTTTCGTAACCTAAAAAAGTAAATTAATTGTGGGTATACAGCATCCAGCGATCCATGGAGACGGAAAAGTATGTTTTAGGCGATAAAACAGTCGATTTACATTTTTCTTGGTTTGTAGTTTGTACCCTCTTTTACGTCTGTATAAGTTGAACATTCATGAGTAGGTATTATATTCCCCATTTATGGTAAATCGACCAAAAAAAACAATAATTTTATTTTATGTCTTACTAACCTATCATAGCACATTTTATATCTGTGATACGCGGGCATAAAGTACCACTTTATGCCCTAGGGCATTAAGTATTACCATAGTAACACTTTATGCCCTAGGGCATTAAGTATTACCATAGTAACTCATTTATACTTAATGACAAAACAAACAAATATTTGCAGGTCATTGAAAATTAGAAACGTCAATTATTAATTGTCAATACCTACTAAATCACAAGATTGGCCTTATTTCGTATAATTTCTGGAACTTCTTGCTCATTCACGATGAATTGAATTATTATTTAAAATTACGTTTGATGTTTGGATGGTTTCAATCACATATTAACAAATTCGAACTACGCATACTCGATCAAACATAATGAATTATTTTGTAAACGAATTGTGACGAAGAAAACTATTTGTAAAACATAAATAATATACTCTCGGGCGACTAAAAAGCTCTCGGGCCATAGGCCCTCGAGCCTTTTAACTCGTCGCCCTCGAGAATATAATCATCACTCTTATGCCCTTAATACATAAATAACTAATACGGCACTTCAATTACACTAGGGTCATTACGATAATAATGAGAAATCTTTACTTCTACGTAAATCAACTTTTACCATCACTTTCTTTTGGTACATGTATGTAGATGCATGATCTACAGATGTGGCGAAGACACCTCCCCAAGTTCAAGAGAAAGTTTTAAGGCAAAAATGTCAACAACCAGAATTCCGTTCGTTTCATTGTCAATGTGAATTAATTCTTACTACATTAATTCGTATTCAATTGCATTAATTTTGTTTGAATATTTAGCGAGAAACGCAAAGATCAACGATCTATTCAGTAGTAGTCATAAATGCTGAATTAAGCGATTTTTATTGTCAAATTTGAATATTGCGATTTTAAAACAAGGAAATTTTACAATGACTTGAATTGTTTGAAACGTGAGCGCAAATTGAGTTCATTTTCCTGCATCGGTTCAATGTAAGGTATTAAAGAGTAAGATTTTTATGGGTATGAATAGGACTTTTATTTTGCACTTCTTTTACTCATGAAGCTTCAGTATATGAAAGCCACGAGGATGGAGCCAGACCCAGAATGTAGGATTGCCCTTGCTTGGCCATTATCCTTTCATCCGATCGCACGTGGTTTTTTTTACGATTTTTATTGTATTATATGGTATGATTGTGTTTTTAACAACCAGTTGGTTTATACCGCCTTCGTTATTTATTTGCAGGCGGTTACTGTATTTTTAGCGGTCCAAGAATTGCTTGTTTACGTTGCACATAATTGAATCAAGAATGCTTTTCATTTGGACATCACTTAAAAATTTTAAGTTCATTGAGTATCATTCCGGTAAATATTTTGTTATTACCGAGTTTTTTAAGCCATTATACATAGTTCCGGTCCCAAAATACGGTCACCATTAACGAAACAAAGACTCTTTTTTTCTTGTTAGTTGGGGATGGGGGAGTTAGTCAGTTGCCCAGGTGCTTGATCTTCACTGACAATCCGTGAATAATAATTTGCCACATTGGATAAGTTTGTGTGTTCAATTCTTCGTGTCTAATCTTCAATATTGTACGTTTGTTGTCAGGTACTGAACATATTTTATGCCTCGGACCTCAGTAAGTTCCATCTTAGTGTAAGTTCCATGGATTCTTCATTTATTGTCTTCGACCACATCGATTCCTGATTGGATCGTTCTGAGTTAAGGTGTGATCCATTCGAAATTGTGTTGACTCACTTGAAAATAAAAAGGTTGTAATTACATTTCACCTAAGTGCTTGTTGTGTGAATAAATTTCGGCCCTTTTCCATCCTTAGGTGTTTCCAAACGGTCTTTTAACCTTATGCCGTTGTTGAAATACTTTTTAAACAATGCTTATGCTATAAAGAAGTTTATTACTGAACGAAATGTAATTGAGTAATTCTTTTTAGCGCATTTCCACAAAAATAAAAAAAAAATGCGCTATTGTGGCCACTTTGTCCGTCCGTCCGTCCGTCCGCTAACTTTGCGACGCTACTAGTTTTTTTATCTTAAGAGCTATTGTTCTACTTTTTTCGCTATTTGGTTCGTTATGGTGTCGAGTCTTGTACCAAGGAAGGAATTTTTTCTGTACCGCTTACAAAAAAAGTTATTGTAAAAAAAACAAAAAACCGTTTTTACATGTTCCATAATTTTACACTTTTGCCGTTTATTAACGATCCTAGAGATCGTTTATAATTTTGCATTGCTATCTGTCGCCTGCCGGTTGGTCTCTCCGTCTGTTCCTTTGTCTGTCTGTCCATCTATCTGTCCGTGTGAACGATAACTTTGTTTAGAAATGTTCGATCGCTTTTACATCTCCGTTAGTTATGAACTGAATTGCATGAAATTCAATATGGGCATAGTTTTAACCATATAATACGCAATGCCAAAAGTTGAATCGAATCGATTCAAAATTCACAGTGCCCTTTTCGCATCTCGACCATTTGTAAACCGAATTGCAAACTTTTTTACTTATAAAAGTATTTGAATGAAATTTGATACATAGGCACTTGGGATAAAGGAAAATCAAACGCCAATTTCAAAATTTGGTTTTGCGCATGCGCAGTGCCAACTTTTTTATTTATGGAAGAATTTAAACGAAATTTGATACATAGGCACTTGGGATAAAGGAAAATCAAACGCCAATTTCAAAATTTGGTTTTGCGCATGCGCAGTGCCAACTTTTTTATTTATGGAAGAATTTAAACGAAATTTGATACATAGGCACTTGGGATAAAGGAAAATCAAACGCCAATTTCAAAATTTGGTTTTGCGCATGCGCAGTGCCAACTTTTTTATTTATGGAAGAATTTAAATGAAATGTGATACATAGGCACTTGGAATAAAGGAAAATCTAGCGCCAGTTTCAAAATTTTATTTTGCGCATGCGCAGTGCCAACTTTTTTATCTATGGAACTATTTAAGTGAAATGTGATACTTAGGCGCTTGGAACAAAGGAAAATCTAACATTAGTTTTAAAATTTAGGTTTGCGCATGCGCAGTTCCAACTTTCTTATTTAGAAAAGCATTGAAATGAAATTCTTCTCATAAACTGAAATTGAAGTAGCACGTCAACAATGGATTGCCCATGTGCAACGCTATCTTTCATATTTGTGGCCGGATTTTTACGATTTTAACAGAAGTTGCATCTTACAAATGGGAAATGAATGCAAGTGGAAATGCGCTTTATGTAAATCGTTTACGATTACTTTTTAAGTTGTTCGTCTTACAGATCCATGCTTATACATTCTACGTTTTGCGGCAAAGTTGGAATTCGAAGGAAAAACGCAGGAAGTTGCAAACACAGCCCTTAGATTAGTACAAAGGATGAAGAGAGATTCAATACATTCAGGTAGAAGACCATCTGGTCTTTGTGGTGCAGGTAATTTGATTATGGGGGAGAAAGTCAACGATTTAACGTTACTTTCGTTGTAGCATTACTAATGGCGGCTCGTCTACATAATTTTAATCGAACCCCGGTGGACATTGTCAAAATTGTCAAAATTCACGAATCAACTTTACGTAAAAGGTAGGCAATTAATTGCTTTTCGGTCTGCAAATCCAATTAACTTACTATATTTACTTTGTCATCAGAGTGTACTTACTTTTCACTTTGTTTGCATTAAGTGCCTATTAGAAATTCTATTTGATTCGTAAAATACTTGCATAAGTAAGTAGTCTGATATTCAATAAGCCATATTGTGTAATGTGTGGTAGACAGTGGTGCTGTTTAGCAATTTTAAAAAGGTATAAGATTTCACTCGCCTATTATTTGAAAAAATCTTTCAGATATATGTCATAATTTCATAATGTGCAATGATTTTCTTAAATACCACATAAAAGTGGTTTTAAACTATGACTGCACCACCTAAGCTGTAAAAACTAAAATTTCAGGGTATCCAAATCTGAAATAGTAGTACAAAAATGTACATCATATCTGATACACACATACATAAAATTGAAATGGCTCATCCCTTGACGCATACCCTGTCATTTTCTTCTTTTTCACAGATTAATGGAATTTGGCGATACTCCCAGTAGCGCGTTGACATTAGACGAGTTCATGACTGTTGATTTGGAGGAAGAACAGGATCCGCCATCTTTTAAAGCAGCTAGGAAGAAGGACAAAGAGCGTTTACAAAAAGTACGTTGGTAAACATACAGGGTGGAAATTTTGTCTGGAACACTGAAAAATTTATATCTTCAAAACAATATTTTGTTAAATTTCTTTATGGTATCCAAAATTATAAAAAAACCGCTACACTTCACTACAGGATTCTTGTTCTCATCTTCAGCATTGTTTGAACCTAGAAAAACGATAACGCCCTGTAGTTTTCAGTTTACACAACAATAGTGATAATGTAACTGTGAACCACCTAACAAATGAAGTAATTGCAACCTTCAGGGTTATACATTTTCTCCTTTTTAGATGTTTATCTAAGTAAAATTGGGAGGAACCAATGTTATTTTGTTTATTTATTCTTTTATCCAATCCAATTTGGTAACTATTGCAAGTAATGTGTATCTTATTGTACTTTTCTTGCATTTTTGTAATTTAGGATTCTTTTCCACCTTTAACCATGACAAAAGCTAAAACAGAATTGGCAAAGAAGTAACTTCCAGAAGCTCCATAAACGGGAATAGATCTTGGCAGAGGTGAAAGAGACGAAGTTGTATCTAGTATTTTAAAAATGAAAAATTATCGTTAAATCTCTTGCAATATATTTCATTCAATTACAATTATGTTGATTTAGTTAATGGAGGAAGAAGCCGATCACATAACAGAACTACAAAAAGACATTGAGTCACAGCTAGATACAAATTATAAACGAAGTAGTAAAGTGCACAGTAAGTGATTGTTCCATTATTTTCGGAATGAATACTGAGCGCATGGATGAATGGGATAATAATGAGTTCTTCTTTTTGTTTGTAAGAAAGTGAGTGTGGTGTGATATTTAAATGGGGTACAATAGTACAAACTTTAGACTTATCTACTTTATATATTTTATTTTAGATTCAAAATCTAGCAAAGAATGTAGTGATGAAAGTAGATTTATAAAAGAATCCACCTTAGGAGTAATAGGTCAACTATTAAATGAAGAATTGGAAGACGATCCTGATAATTTGGAAAGTCAAAAATCAAAAGAACTTGGTAAATAATCTTTATATTAATTATCAGACATTGTCGCTACATTGTCTATTGCCATACATTTAACCCTAACAGGGAGTAATTGAAAATGTAACCCCTGGTTATTTTGAGTTCGTAGTGCAATTTTTTAAGAAGTAAAAAAATGCTTTGGAGAGATCTGTTCTAGTGAAACCTCGATTCTCTATCTACAGGCATCTTGTATATTTAAGGTCCAGACATAGCCAGTATGGGTCTTGCCAATTCTTTGGAGGATGTTACCAATGCAGCCCCAACCAATCCCACCATAGAAGTAAATCTAACATTTGATGATATCGACGACAATGAGTTGGATGCTTACATTATGAGCGAAGATGAAATGAAACATAAAAATGGATTATGGTTAGAAGAAAACGCTACCTATTTGGAGCTATTAAAAGGTAATCTTTCTTAACAATTTAGGCCGAAAAGATTCTTTATCAAAATCGGACCCTTGCTATTAAGAACTCGAGAATGGAAACATGTGTGTGATTTCAGATTATGACAAATTGAAACTAATTTCACACTATATCTTATATTTCATTGTGTAAATGAGAGTAAAGTAATGAGCTTACTTATTAGGTAACTTTGACAGAGCACATATGTAATTTATTTACTTTATAATGTCAATAATTTCATTTTTAATCACTTATTTACTTATGTTAATGTTGATTTTACTTTCACATGCCATGTTTTCTGAGCCTATATTTTATTTACCTTTTAATTTAAGTTATTTCATTCCTCTCTAAAATCCTGATGGTGACAAACTTGAATAAATTCTTTTCATGTTTTCTCATCTACATTGATTTTAATCTTCCTTGCATATACACCCGCCATGGCAATTAATGACTTTACATAATTCTTTATAATGAATGAGTAGGTATGCAAACATTAAGGTCGGAAACAAATTTCTCTTACATTTAAAGTGTGATTCCCTTTTTAATTAGACATCTGGGTGTGTATGGGGACCAGGATCTTGAAATAATCAAAAAAGTACGTGAGTTAGAAGTGGGTTATGTAAATGAAATATATTTTGCTATTCTTTATGTACTTCATACATTTATATTTAAATAAGAACCTGACTGGTATTTATTTTCCTTACCTACTTTGCCACGCCGTAATTTTGCGCCTGTATTTTCTGGTTTATCTGTAATTTTCCTTTATAATTAACGCACGTTTGGGCCCCACAATGAAATGGTAGTTTCTTTTCTCTACGCAATACAGTGAATTATTTTCTTGAATTCATATATTTATTTACGAATCTGTTCTTACTCGTAGTACCCCGACAGTACATAAGGGACTGCTAAGTAACCTACGACGCAGTAGATATTAACTACGCGGTATGCTACAACAAAATAAAGTACAACGCTGTAAATTAAGAAAAATGACTCGGTCGATGTAAATGGAAGTTCTACCCGTGAATATCGCTGCTGGTCCTACGATGGGCACGTCGCAATCTGTTTCGGTTTATCAATCATACACGGTAGGTACGTGCCTAGAGGTGACGAACATTTCGTACGCGGCTTTTAAGTTCGCGCAGAGGAGATGTTACACCTTCACAGGCGTTTTTCTATTTATATTACGCTATCAGGGAACCAACACAATTTTGGAAACCGGCGTCCTTTTTTAACCAATATCCGATCAGCGTTTTTTGTTTATAAACAATTTTCGTCTTTGTTATACGGAACCGCGACGTCCTTTTTTAGAGTATACATAACAATCCATGGTGTGCAAGTAGAGAGGCATTATGCAGGTCACTCTGTAATTGGAGGGATAATAAATAAAAAATTTAAAAAAACTAACATAAAGGAGACTTATGGAATGTTTTCCATACCCAAAGAAAAAGTATTTCTGCTGGATAGCCTTGTTCCATCATCCTCCCAAGAACTCTCCTAACTGAAGCGCTCTCATTTTTTCATCCCAGTTTCTCTGTTTCTGTCCCTGTCATTTACTTTTTTCAAAAAGATTTTGCCTTGTCTATGTTCTGTTGGGTTAGCACTATTTATTTTCGTACTCGATGTTTCCTTTTCACCTTCAACTGGACATCTTTCTTTTAAATACTTTGGCATTGTCATTGGTCACTCATTTACCTGTAATAGCTCAACGTTGTAATTTGATGCTTGTAATAAAATGTTACTTTTTATAAATCATGCAACCACACTCAATCACATGCAGTTAGTGCCCATTCCAAGTTACTAATCTGACCTCTAATCTACCCTGGTCTTTACACACTACGTGACTGTTTTGCTGAAGCCTATGTAAGGCAGTCTTTTATTCCATCACCCTGTTCAAAATTAATAGGACATCTCTTTATTTCAGTTAAGGAAGAAAAAATTGCAAAAGAGAAAGAAGAAGGAAAACCCGAAAAAAAGAAACGCAGAACAACTCGTAAGAAACAAAATTTAGGTCCAGCGAATTCCGCGGGTGAAGCTATAGAGAAAATGTTACAGGAAAAAAAAGTATCGTCAAAGATTAATTATGAAGTATTGAAGAGTCTGACAGCTTCTAAATCTGAGGAGCAGTCAAACGAGAAGGAAGCAACTATAGATATTGATCAAATGTAAAAGATTTACCTTATTATGTACTTACCCGTAAAAGAGATTGTTGTTTCAGTGCTTCCACCTCTCTACCGGATGTCCCTAGCGCTACTCCTAAACCACGAAAAACGAAACCTTCCGTTAAAATTAATTCTAGAAACTCCAAAATTAAAGCACCTGCCGTTGGTTTACCATTTGTGGAAAAAGCGGAAACTGTAACAGTTAATGAAGTTCCAGAGGAACCAAAAGACATGGACACAAGTAAGTTCCTGCTCGAATGAATGTAAGCGTCATGTATACAAATTTTTAGCGCAAGATGACTATTTCGACGATGATGATGAGGAGGAGACAAGTGCTGTAGAACCTGAAATGGGCGTGTATCAGATGTTGAGGCAACATCAACAAAATGGTGCAGAGGAAGGAGAAGACTTGTATGGAATGGACTATGAGGAAGAAGATTATTAATGTGATGATTAAACAATTTTATTTATTTATTTAATATACCTTTAGATCATGACTATCTGTAAGAATTTAATTGCGAATACTTGTTATCTCTATTTATATTAGCCAAAATAAATATTGAAGTGCAAATCTGGAATCTGAGAGTATACATGGATCGTTTTAGCAATGGGTATAATAAATGGGAAAGAAAATTTTGGAATGGATGGAAATTTTTATGAAGGCATCTTCTCCTCATTTTCTCTGATTATTTTACATCATGATCATGATGAACAAGTGGTTGTTATAATATTTTTTTTCCTACCTTGGGTTGGGTATTTCAGGCCTGCGCACTTTGACCCTTGGATCTATTGTTCATGAACCAGTATCTTACTGCGGCTCCCTGATGTACGGAGGTGTTATTGCAGCCTCACCGCGCTCTTGTGATCTCTATGTGCTCAGGAATCAGGGGGTGGCCAGGTGGGACTGAGCCCCACCGAGAACATGGTCTTGTCCCCACTGGAAATTATGGTTGATGGTTCTTTTACAAAAATTACAGGGGAAGTTTTTACCATTCTTAAGCCCCACCCACCCATAAAAATACTTGCCACCCCTGCTACTTCACTCTGGCAACGGGCCTGTCAGGAATGTTTATTTGTTGTACAACTCCTAAGTGTTTTGCACCTTTATGTATTCCTCCCAACTCACTATGGAGCAGTCTTATTGTTCCACTCGCTGCTTCCTTCTTCACCACTAAGTGAAGAGGGAAGAGGTTCAGGAAGATCTCCATGGCAGCTATAGGTGTAATCATTGCTCCACTAATACTCAGACAGGATATTCGTTGTAGCCTATTTAGTTGGGGTTGGGGTCAGGGTTTTTTTCTAAGGAATACTCTGCCCTACTGTTTTCTCCATCGTTTTAAGGGTGAAAGTCGGTAGCTCTTGGGTTGGTTGGCTATTGGGTCTCTTGTCTGCCTTGGCAATAAAATCCACGTCTACCGTCCTCCAGAGCTTAGGGAGTAGCTTCCCCTAAAAATTTCTACTAGAAAGGACGTTAATATCTCAGTCCCTTTTATAAAGAGAATGGGGAGATTTATAAGGCTTGTAGTAGCCTATCGCCCAACGGACCCTGTTTGGTGTAAATATACGGCACTATAAGTGCCCCTTCATACTGCGTGATTGAGAAACGCTGCTTATAATCGTGCTGCTGAGCAGCGGGGCGGGACGTAGTGTAGCAGCGCGACGGAGTCGCCTTAACCCGCGACCCAGTCGCACGTTCAGTGACTTGCAGCACTTTCGAGTAACTTTATATCTGATGCTCTAAGGGGTCATTTATTAGATCATTATGAATATGTGGTCTAATATATTCTATCTTCTACGTTTTTGATGTTCATCATAACTGTTCTTCACGCTCCAGAACCGATCTGAATTTGTGAGAAAACTTTCCCGGAGGTCTCCTATAGGTTTCGACTAGCAAGTTTTACCATCGCAAGTTGCGTGCGTGATAGAAACGTCGCAGTTCTTATAGCTGGTCAGTGCTGTCAGACGGCAACTTGCGTTAGAAACCTTGCAAGTTAATTCCTACCTTTACATAAATGCACTTCACAAGTACTATCTGGACTATTTCCAATAAATCAAAAATAAATTTATATTTATAGATCTTTTAAGTAATCAACATTATAATAGAAATCAAGTGAGTACTACTAGTAAACCTGTTGAGAGCACAATTGTAGCATGTTTCTGATAGTAAGATAGTTCCAAATGTCTAGTGATTTTTTGTTACATTCTTCATTGAACTTTTCGTGGATTGTCCCAGGCGAGCTGGCCGGAATGGCATGTCCAAAGACGAAACATATGAACTATTTGGAAAGTGTGGGAATTAAACATTTAATAACATTATCGCCAGAAATTCTTCCACCTTCTGAGGGTAAAACTATAAAGTGGTCCCAAATATTTATTGAGGAATTTGAAGCGCCTTCGTTGGAGCAAATATTGAAGTTCGTTGATATTTGCAATACATGCCGTATTCTACATGAGGTAGGCGAATTACATTACATGCTGAAAAAAATGGTGTTTTTTTGGGGAGTTTGTTATTTATTTATTGTTTCTTATCGCTCTCTTGTTGTTCAAAATACACTTTTGAAAATGCCGGAAGTAGTTGGAAACTTTGTTGTTTTAAAGTTTTAGCGGATTTTTGAGTCCATATGAATTTTTTTTTCATACCCTGATAATGCTTTCGCGTCACGGTTTATGAGTTGGGACAAGTGAAAATTTGCTGATTATTCACGTTGGGGGTGACGCAGTGGGTACTCTTTGGTATAGGTATCCTCACAATTCGTTTTAAAAAGGTTAGCGGACCTATTAAAAAACAGGAACAAGAAAATATGAATCCTGGTAGTTGCGCATATTCAAGTTATATAGTCACATCGGCCTAGAACACATTAATGGCTATTTTTTAGGATTATCGAGAAAATCCTAATGAAAACGAGTAGGTAAGTGGCCGTATATAAACCAGAAACCCCTTGTAATACAAGAAGTCAGAAGGGTACCTATTTGTACCTTTTTAATCATAGTTTTGTGTTCATAACTTTTTTTAAAAATTTTTCGTTACTACGTGTAATTTATACGTTTATGTATGTCTGCCATAGGTTAACTGAATTACAATTAAAAAAAGGGCCTTTACAATAAGCGAATGCAGTCTCGGAGACCGGAACGACTAGAGCACCGGGCCTAAACGTGGAAATAAGTAATAATTCGCCTCTACTGTAAGTTTAATGCAATAAAATGGGAATTCCTCAGAAGCTATAGTAATAGTAGTATAATAGCCAGAAACATGAAATATCAAAATTAGCGCTTTTTCATCTATTACATGGGAAAATCAGAGACTTGCTATAACTAGACTGCGCTTAACGTATATCTAAGGTGTTGTTGACACAGTATGCAACACACAATACACCGCGGGGCAAAAATCGCTGAGATGATATGCAATATAATGACATAAGCTGTTATTTTAGATGTTCCATTCATTAATCATTCTCATGATTAGCTCGAATTGTGAACAGATAAATTTCTGTTGAGTTGAGACTTGAGAATAAACCAATAAACTTAGGTTAACTTGTGCCTATCAACATGTACTCTGTCGATAAATTTTTAAATAATATGCTGATTTTCAACGGATAAAAGTTTGAAGGGCTAATGGATCAGAGCCATTCGAAGAGAAAAATTTACTCCCACCATAGTGCATTTGCGGGGAATGAAGCCGATTTTAGAAAGGTACCTACGAAGGTGTTAAACAATAATGCAATACCGAGCGTTTTCGACTTTCCCATTCACTTAAAATAACGTAGAACTATTATTCGACATCCTTTACCAGCAAGACAACGGCAATACCTATTTGCCTATTAGGTATAGACGTAACTAAGTACTTACTGGTACTAAGTATATTTCAGGTTTTGTTACAAGAAAAATAGCTAAGTCTGTTAAATGTTCCATATGTGCAGATGCGATATTCGCATCAGAGAGTCATTCACAGCTTTTAAGTAGAAAAAATCGTGGAGGATTGTTGCGCGTATCAAGCGATGCATTAAAAATTTGCCAAATTGCTGAAAATGTGTTCAGGTTTTTCATTCAATCCACACGACACCGCGTTGTAAACAAAATGGTTATCAGAAGTCTAAGAAAAATAAATAACAGTTACAGCCCATTTGGGTTTTTGGATAGGCATATATTGAATCAAAATCCGCTAAATAATCATATCTTACTACTTACATCTTTAGTTTTAAGAGTATATTTTCCCATATACGTGTTCACCACCAAAATACACATATAAATCAAATTAGGACTAGAGTAAGGCAGTTATATACCAATTTAGTTCAAATAAAATACCAATAAATTCGATTAAAACAGTTAACATCTATATGTTATGTTTTTTTGCAACTAAAATTTAGAATAAACATGGCTAAAGCAAGCTGCAGAACGTACGTCTGCCCCGCGATGAACAGTTGGTTGCCTATCCTATCTTGACAACAGGCGTTTATAGTAAAATCTACGTTACGCGCGGTCTAGTTATAACAAGTCTCTAAATACTTCATTAAAAATAAAGGAGTCCTGTATTTATTTAAAGAAAACCTCAAATTTAAGGAGCCATAGCAGTGGTCATATAGTATTTTAAAATTTGTTGGAATTACGATTATTTCGGGTTTTGAAGCCGTGCCCCCAGCCATAAGGATTATTAAGCAGTAGAGCAAAGGGATGCAAGCTTTTTAGGGGAGTCGATGATGTCTGTCTGTGAACACGATAACTCGCAAACGCTTGCACAGATTCAGTTCCAACTTTCCATTTAAATTGAAAATGGGTCAAATCCAATGACCCCGTTGAGCCAAACCGATCTGCCGCTTTTCTATGCCCGTTTTACACGCGATTTATTGGTCATTGAATACATGGAAATATCATCATATAAACAAAATCTGGAATAAAACCTTTATTAATTAGTTTGAGTATACAGGCTGTTTCACGCAAACCGCTACCTTAAAGTTTTCAGATTCTCATTGATGAAATTTTGCATACAAACACAGTTTTTCATGATCTATCGAAAGGAAATATTATGATCGTTTCACTTCCGGTTTTACCAGATGTGTATAGCAACTTTCGTATTTTACATAGAAAACACCCTATATTTTATTGCATTACATTAGGTATACCTACATGAATTTGCAAAACTTTTTGAAATTCAAGTCAACGGAATCATATGTGCATCAGGGCCCAAAAGAAAAGCAATCAAACGTCAAAAATGTTGAAAAATCTTAAATAAGTTGAAAACCATTGAGGCGCTGAGGAAGGGGGTATCAAACGACGTAGATTTTCATTTAGATTTCGAAAATGCAATAAAATACCGAGTGTTCTATTTAAAATATCCGGTACACCCGGTAAAGCCGGAAGTGAAACGATCTCGATAATATTTTCATTCTATAGATCATGAAAACCCTCGTGAGAAACTATGTTCGTATGCAAATTTTCAAGTTTAAATTATTAATTGGAGTAGTAGGAATACTTTCAGGCAATGAATAATTTATTCATTGCTTTTAGGTAGCGGTTTGTGTGACAGGGGTCAACTCGATGAGACAGGTCAAGAAGTACTTACCATTGCCGAATTCTGTCGCACGGTGTCATCTTGCGAGCATATTACGCCTCAATTTGCTGTGATTACTGACATAGAGAAATTCCATTACTATTTTTATGGAAAAATCTTCATTCTACGCACGGATTATAAGCCATTGTTTGGCAAAAACAAGCACACGTCATTTTTCGAAAGAAAAAAGGAACTCTCGTTTTATCAAGGTTGCATTCATTGTGGGCACCAAAGTCGCGATTCCGCCAGGGGGGAGGAAGAGAGTATTGGAAATACTTCACGCAGTGCATCCAGGCATTGTGAATATGAAGGCACTGGTCCGATATCTTACTGGTGACCAAAGATGGCTGATCAAATCTAGGAGAAAATTAATACCTCTACGTGTTCCAGTGGTCAACAAGTGAGACCGATCCCTAAGAAAACTCCGGTACGGCCATGAGAATGGGCCAGGGCACTCTGGACGCGGTTGCATTAGGTTCTGCGGGACCTTTTGGTAAATTCTTTTTAATTGTCCTTGCGCCCTACTCGAAGTGCGAATGCATTGCACTTCTAATACCGTAACCATTACTTCTTTGGGAGTTTTTTACAACCCTGGATCCAGTATTCACCTAATTGGAATTTAAATCGTTTCTAGACAAAAATGGAAACTGTCAAGTCCTAGAGTAGCTCCATATACCATCCTAGCAGTAATGGACAAGCCGAACGAATGTGAAGAAAAGCGCTAAAGATGTCATCCAAGGATATTAGAATCCCCCTGTTTAGGTAGATGTTTGCTTACTCAATAGAGAGACGAATTCCAGCGATACTGACTCTAGTCAAATGACTTCAGAAGTTGCGGAGACACTAAGAAATCTTCACTGTTGGACACCAGCGAGATTGACTGTACCGGGTAAAACTTTAGTAGGTAGTCCTTATTTTCTTTTATTGAGAAATTTCCTGCTGACATAAAATTGTATGCATTAAGTTTCTTTCGGCAACTTGTTTGATGGGATTGAAGGAACGGGAATAATTCCAGAAAATATTATTCCAAACAAGCTGTCAATTGGCATTAAACAAGGATTTGAAAAAAACTCGTAAACGATTTACAAAAAGCGTATTTCCGCATTAACAGTTTTTGTCTGAAAAAATTACTGCAGCCATTTAACCAAAAAATTGCATCCAGAAATAAGAAAGTAGGCACCGCGCATGCACAATTCTTTGGTAGGTATCTGGTATATCGATATGTCATTTGAATTTGAGTTAATAAAAACCATCTTAGCGTATAGAGTTTATGAGCACAAAAAATTCAATAAGTGAATACCGAACGTATAGGTATCACGTATCCATCATTATCCATATCTTCGAAAACATTTTTTTTGAATCGACATAACTAAGGGAAGGGTCAAAAGGGCCTTCCTTACTTTTTTTTATCTACATTGCCAATTCACGAACTCTGTTCTAACAAACTTAATAAAGAAAAATTTCCTCGCAATTGGTGCAAGCGTTCTGTTTTAAATCGAGACATGAAGCCATCGAGCGAGAGAGTCCGGACGATTGGGAGAAAGCATAGGTAGCATATAATATACCGTTTGTATGTACCTACTGTTGTATTAATTTATAAACTTCCCAATGAGCGAATTTTTCAAACAAAATTACAAACACCCGCAATGGAGTAACAGCATTGAATTTATAATTATAACTATGAATGGTAGTAATAGGTGCAGTTTCTAGCATAATCGGCGCTGCCTTATCAAAAATTAAAAGAAACCCAAAAATGCAAAAAGGGTAGCCATAGTCGATTCCACGGTGACTTTGAAAGTTTCTACACTTTCGAATTTCAGGTTCAATGACCTATTTTGGATTTGTCTTTATGGAGGACTCCGCCCCTCTTTGACTTTTCCTTTTACACTTGTGCTCACTTTAGAGACAA